CCTAAGGCAAGGGAGGAAGTAGAAAAGTACGTCCTACCTCACTCGGGAGGAGCAGGGTGCGGATCAGAACGAACAGGAATTCTTCCTCATACAAAATGTATGAGGGCGTTTTCAAAGAAATCGTGTTGCTGCTTGTAGGGAACAAACAACCCACGGAAGTCAGTCCTAAGGCTAGGGAGGAAGTAGAAAAGTACGTCCTAAGAAATGGCCATCTGTTCAAGAGAGAGGAAGGGATGATGCCTAGACGTGTCGTTTATGGGAGGTCTAGACAGCTGGACATAATTCAGGCAATGCATGATGGGCTAGCTGGGGGTCACCGGTCGTCAAAGGGACATTTGCAAAGATTGTGCCCCTGTATTTCTGGCCAGGAATGGCAAGCATGGTCGCAACGTACTGTCGGACGTGTATGATATGTCAACAGAGGAGCTCCGTACGGGTTTACGAGCCCCTTAGACCCACCCGGGTACTGGGACCCGGACACCTTGTTCACCTCGACCTTGTCGTTATGCCCGTATAGACGGACGGATTTAGACACATCTTGGATGCAAGGGATAATCTTACTGGCTATGTAGAAGCCGTAGCCCTCAAGAAGAAGACAGGGAAAGCAGTGGTCGACTGGGTGGAAGACTTCTACCTAAGGCACCCTTTCGTGCGCAGGTTTATAGCAGACAATGGGACAGAATTCGTTAACCAGGAGGTGTTGAACAAGCTTAAGACACTGTGTACCAATCAAGATCATCGAGCCCTACCATCCTGAGGCAAACGCACCGTAGAAAGGGGTCACTGGACTTTGAAGTACACAATCGCAAAGTTGGCAGCAGATAATGTGGGAAGTTGGCCACGGTTTCTCAAACAGGCAGTCTTCGCCGAGAACATGGCTCCAAAAAGAACAACGGGGTGTATTCCAGCAGAACTCTGGTATGGAAGGGAGATCGATTTTCCGATAGAAGCCTTAGTCCCTACCGGGAACAGGCTAGATGACGACCCACACTTGACCACGGAGGAGTTAATCGCCGCACGTTGCCAACAGGTCGCCAGGAATGAGGAGGCATTGGAGGAAATAGTTAACCGTGTAACGGACAGTTGAATGAAGGACAAAGCAAGGTGGGACCAGGTGAAGAATATCCGTAAGGAGTCGCTCCAAGTAGGGGAAAAGGTGCTAATTAGGAACTCAACTCTTGAAAGCACATGGTCTGGGCAGCTGGGAAAAAGATTCAAAGGGCCTTACAGGATCGCTAAGCGGGTCGGACTGAACAATTTGAACTTGAGGATCTCGATGGTACTAGCATAAGAGGGTCATTTCCGGGACAGAGACTGGTCAGATTTTTTAGCAAGGATCCGGTGGAGCAGTGGCTACAAGAAGCTCAGGACAGGGAAACTGGGGAATTGACAGCCTGAAAGGCGGCAGTTGGCTATAAGTTCTGGACCGCCTCCCTGTGGAAGTGATTATGGTTACAGGGATTGTTCGTTTTGTGTGTCTTGACGTTTGTGGAACGTAGGAAGACTGCCTGGGCTGACTGTGACTGGGCTTGGGAGCACGGGACAATGTATTATAGTTTTTGTGGGTAACGCTGGGGACTGTCTACACGAGGTATTTATGTGCTGGGACAATGTACCATAGTTTTTGTGGGGGGAGGCTGTGGATTGCCTACATGAGGCACCTATGTGTTGGGACAATGTGTCGAGGGTTCTAAGGGATAATGGGACTACTAACTATATGGGGAAAAACGAAAGTTCTAGGGAAGCCTCCAAAGCTGCAAATGGGAGTGGAAGGGAATGCGTCTGTATGAGGGGTACTGTGACTGTTATGTATGAACAGGACCAGGCAAGGAAGGAGCCGTAAACAGCAGAATGGAGTTTGGAAATGAAAACGACAACAATGCTATCAACAGGCCTACGGAGGGACAGCCATCAAGGCAGGCCGGGGAATCAAGCTCCAGGAAGAGGAAGTTGTATGTGGGGTTTGATCACAATCTAGTGGTAAACAGAGGAGGGAAAAAGCAGGGGACCAGGGGGCCATCACCACCAAGGGAGGGGGAGCCGATAGTCCTCCCCTCTGAAAGCGACACTAGCAGCGAGGAAGAGGGCAACCTAGAGGAGGGACAACGGCCGGGAGAAAATGACCCAGTGGAGTTCATCGACCTCACCAGCGATGAGGACGAAGATGAAGTGACAATGCCCACAAGGGAAGAACGCGGAAGAGGGGAGGAGCCGGGAGAGAGGAAGGATAAATGGATAGAGGAGTTCGGGCCTGAGTTCAGTGATTGGTTTGATCAATGGAGCACTATCCTGCGATATCAATGGATAATGAAGGCAAGGGAAAAGCTGGGCAGGGGAGAAGACTTGTCCCCAACAGCCTTCTTCTCAGAAGGAACGCTCCTCCAATTACAGGCAATAAAGAGACAAATGGAGCAGGAATCGAAGGATCGCACAAGGAGGGAGGCTCAACGCAGGCCACCTGGACGATAAAGCCAGAGCAGCCGTAATGGGAAATAGCTAGGAATTGGGAGGGATTGGTGCCTGGGCAATTGGAGCTGCCACTTTGAACTTCGCATTTGAGCTCCTTTTATGAATAAACTTTCTAAGCTCGAGGTGAGTAAGGACTGGATAGTCAGTGCTACTTTGTACGAGTGGCTGCTTCTTCAGGGAAAGGCATGAGGATTTTTGCACTTAGAATAGAACTCTGGATGGCTGGGTAGATTAAGAGAAAGAAAAGGGGGAAACAGCGGGGATCTAGAAGAGACGAGTCAGTAATATTGTCTTTGCATTCGAACTTTGTCTCCTTGTTTTTCTTTGAAAGGACTGCAATGGAACTACTTTTTGGATTGAGGGAACTAGTAGAGGGTGGGTGACCAGGGTTACCTTGCATAAGTACTCGCTCCGCTTGGGAAGTGTGAGCCTTTTTATAATGTAAGAAAGGGTTTGGGGCTGATTGGCTTGGTTTCGAGGAAATGGGCAGGGGCATGTGAACTCTTGAACGTTGGAAGAAACATTCGTGGCGAAAGCCTTTCCTTTGAGTTGTGTGTTCATGATGGAATGAGTCGTTGCATGAGTCCTTGTGAGAGGTTAGGGAACCTATGGGTAGAGAGGTACCCTCTCCCCTAGAAGCGTAATCCAACCTACCTCAGCCAATGCCAGAACACTAAGAAGCATAAGAGAAGTTAGAAAAGTGACTGGGAAACATCGAAAGGGTTCAGCAGCCCTTGTAATGATTGAACGGCCGGGCGGGCCGCGAGCCTCAACTTGAGTACTAGACGCTAAGTCGGATGTGTGGATCGATGTAAGAATGACAAAAGGCATGAGAAAAAGGAAGAAGCACGCGTAAAAAAAAAACAAAAAAAACGATGGTCGCCTTCTAACACCCGAGACCAGAAAGGATCCGGGTCCTCAAGGCCCACCCCCTTGGGCGCTAACATTGCAATGGACAGGGATGACCCTAACCAGGCTGTTCAATTAAAATGGATAAGGATGGCCTTAACCAGGCTGTTCAATTGAAAGGGATGAGGATGGTCCTAACCAGGATGTCCGATTGCAATGGATAAGAATGGCCCTAACCAGGCTGTTCGACTTGGAATTGGAAAGGACGACCCTAACCAGGTTGTTCGGAATGACCCCTGACAAGGGTCATTCTTTGGAATTGGCACTGTGGTCCCCTTGCATGGCTGCTTGGAATGCATGATATTGGAAGAGCTGAGCTTTGGAAAAGGTATTGATGAGATATTGACCCTAATTTGAAAGAGACATTGAGCTGAGCCTTGGATAAAGATTGGAAAGATCTGAGAGTGGAAAGGATACTGGACTCAGCCTTGAAAGAGATATTGCACTGAGCATTGGACTGAGACTGAGCATCAGAAAAAGACTGCGCATTGGAATTGAGTATTGGAAATTGCATTGCATAAACAGGGGACCCTAGGCAACTTGAAATGGACTTGGAAAGAGCATTGAAATGGATTTTACCTTGTCTTCTAGTCCTGGGCCTCAGCAAGAGGGGGATACCGGTGCATGCACCGCGACCCCAAGACCTCTCCCTTTGAGGGAAAAAGTCTCAGCGCGACCTGTTCCTCTTCGAAGAGGATGAGGGTTAAAGGACTAAGGCACCTACTACTTGGATCGGTGCGGGACGTCCGGAACCACCCCCGACAATGAGCTCTGGTCGGGGAGTTCCAACTGCGCCTCCTGCTGAATGCCTAAACGTCAAAGGGCGAGAGAGCCAAATGGGCAGGAAAGCCATTCTCATCTAGTCTATTTCGCTACTTTCCAACCACACGCCCTGTCATAGAGGGGCAGCATGGCCGTTTGGGTCGGACCACGGCTGCCCGCGCTAAGTTGGGCGGTATTGTCCAAGGGGAGAGGCTTGGCGGAGTATAGCGTGGAGTCCGCGGCCACCACGGGGCATTGACACCGCCCCGCCGAAGCATTACAACCGCTTCGGGACTAATTGCTAGGTCTTCGTAACTGCACTCGCGAACTAATTGAGAGCTTCAACTCTCTTGAAAGGAAGAGGCCGGAATCCAGAAAATCACCACTCGGGAGGAACGATTCGCGAGGAACACTCTTACGGCTATACGAGACCCTGGCAGGCTTGGATTGGACCTACCTGACAGACGTAAGGAGAAACCTTGGTATCGGTGCTCGCCACGTAGGAGAAGAAAGGTCGGACCGAGTAGGAGGATGAGGCGTCGTCCGCTGGGGAGGAACTGATCACTCTTCCTTTTGTGAAGCGGATGGGCTTGTGTCCTTGACTGCGGTTGGTGGGCCAAAGGTCTCGTACCTCCAAGTGAGGACCAGTCGCGCGATGGGGACATCGCGTTTTGAGTGGGGGGAAGGTGTGCCATCTGCCAATCAATACGCATGAAAAAAGACTTGTAATTGGTTTTGCATGGGCTTAGGAAAAAGGGGACCTGTCAAGATGGCCGGAACGGAAAAAAATTGTAATTGGCTTTGCTTGGGCCTGAGAAAAGGGGGCCTGGCAAGACGCCAGGTCAGAAAGGACTTGAGCAAGTGACATGGTATGGACCTGAGAAAAAGAGTCTGGCAAGACAACCTGGAGGGAAAGGATTGATGAGATTGGTTCTCGTGGGCCCAAGAAAGGAATTGGTAGACTGAGGAATGGCTGAGGGATTGGCTTGAAAAGAAGGGCCTAGCTAAGGAATGGGTTGAGCATTGCATGTAGAAAAATAATCGAGCAAAGGGCAAGTAAGGACAACAGGGTGATATGCATGCGGACTTGGCAGGACTTGAGAAAAGCCGGAAAGAACGGCCAGGGAGGAATGCATGTGGATTTGGCTATGCCTGAGCTTGGGGAGAAGAAAACTTGCACCGAAAATATGGGGAGGCCCTAAGAGTAATGAATGGGATGAAACCGGAAGGATGTCTGTTCAAGAATGTTTTCTCGATGAAATGGGAAGATAGATTTGAGATTACGAATGCAGCCTTCAAGACATTGTCGAGAGCGAGAAATAACGTACAATGAAAAACTAGTTGCAGGACATGTCTGCAGTCGAACCCCTCCAAGGGGCGATGCTAGTCAACTTGATGAGGGAAAGAGACATCAAATTGCTTAAGCTCCTTGACGTGTTGCTAGCTCGCACCTGGAGGAAGCCATGGCGAAAGATCCCTGTGACAATCCGTCGCCAAAATCTCCCCTTTACCTCTGCCCCTGGGGAGGGCTCTCTCTTGTGGAATGATACGGGAAGTTGTGGGGAGGCTCTTGGGTACTTGGGAGTCCCAGCGAGAAAGAGATACAGCTGTGAGACGAACACTGATGCACAGAGAGGGTTACGCGCTCGCTATAAAGACATTATTGAGCTTGGGGACGTTACGCAACCCAGAGGAAACCTGAAACAAAAACCTTGAACCCTCCATACCCTCCCCCGCCCAAGGGGCGGAAACCTAAAAGGAGGACCCGAGAAAAGAGTAAGAAAGACAAGAGGAACCCTGGCAAGCTAACGACTCATCCCACCCCACTCCCCTTCCTTGTCTGTCTATCACTCCAAAATCCCTACTGACCATGGATTGGTGCGCGATGAGGACATCGCGAATGAGTGGGGGGAATATGTCGGGACTGGTGAGTCCCGAATGATTTTTCGTCACTCGAGAGACTGCATATGGCCAATTTGTGCACGGCAGAGAAAACCGGAGGCAGGAATGCTGGAAAGTTCGGAAGCATGAACATAGACGGTAGGAGGTGGGAGGCTGCCCAGGGTTGTCAGGACCACCACACTAGAGAGAAAACTGTCTTGGCAGGGGGCAACAAAGGGCTGGGAGAGAGAATGATAAAGGCGACACCCTTCCCCGAGAACGGAGGAGGGACGCCGGAGAATTAGTATTAGCATGAGGAGAAAGCAGCTAGACAGGGCGCAAGGCGTGGATGCAACACAACGGTGAAGGGACCAAGGAGGCTGCAGGATAAGTGGGAGCCGGCACCCGAAAGGGAACAACGCGCGAGACGCGAGAGGGACGGGGAGCAGAGATCGCCGCAAAAAAGGAGGACGTCAGAGGAACCAAGAAAAGATGTGGCACCGGCGGGGCAAAGTGCCGGGGGCCACAGGGCACCAAGAAAAGATGTAGTGCCGAGGGGACAAAGCGTCAGGGACCACGTAGGGCCAGGCAAAAAGTATGGTACTACAGCGGGACTAGTAACGAGGACCGCGGGGGACTAAGTAGATGAGTATGGACCGGCGGAACCACTGACGGGACGGGACAGGTACCAGCGGGACCAGCGCCAGGAGCTGTCGGCGGGACAAAGGACGTCTGAGCAAGTGGGGACGCGTGACGATCCAAAAGGGAAACAGGCCGCCGTCCGGGACGTCAACAGGAAAAGAGAATGGGCTACAAAAATAATAAGAAAATGAGGAGTCGAACGCCAACGGGAAAAACTGTTGCCGAAACGGAAGAGGCAGGCGCGACACGGGAAAGGCGGGGAGAGCCTGGGAGGTTCCGGGGAAAACCAGATTAAAATATGCTAACGGTAAAAATAAATGCCAAGGGGACGGCACCTGCGGGCGCCACCGTCCGGGCCGGGTGGCCGGACGGATACTAAGTGTCGCCACGACAAGCGCGGAAGGAGAGCATCGGGGGGAAGAAAGAAGGGAATAGCGGCGGCAAGAGGGGCTGGCCAGTGGTCCAGGCTATCCCGGACCGGCCAGGCTAAAGTAGTAGTAGTTCCAAGGGCTCCACGTGGAGAAAAGGCTGGTCGGAGAAAAATCGAAGCAAGGCAGCCTTGATCTGGAAGCGGTGGCAGCAAAAAGGAGCCCCCTTGGACCTTGGGGGTGCCATTACTGCAGTCCGGGGTGTAACGACCATATGCCGGCTGCAAAATCAGACCTTGGGAAAGGTCCAACAGCCAGAAAGAGAAGAAATAGTTGTTGGACACTTGTCCCAACAGTAATGAGAAAAAGAGGAGAGAGAAAAGGGGAGAATGAGACAAAGGAAGAGGAAGGAGTGGAAGAAAAAGTGCCGCCAGGTTGGGACTGCAGCAGTAGGGATGGGCAGGTCCCAATGATGACCTCATCCCTCCTAGATCCTAGGAGTGCAGTCCGGATTGCAGAGATAAGGACCTTGGGGCATTATCTCTGCAATATCTGAATTA